ACGACGTTCGTTTGCTTACGTTAGACCTGAGCCCAGGCTCGGAGTGATTTACTGTGATTCGAGGTATTATACCTCAGGTATATCATTCGCTAGTGGCTAAGCTTCGTCTTAACGGTATCTTGTCAGGGATTAGTTTACGGTATTGTATACGAGTTAGGCCTACTTGTGTCCACTAGTCACGATGGTATTGCCTCGTAGTGGCAAGAGTTCGAATAGAGTCATGTTGAAGAAAATCATGATGAAAATTCAGATATGCGTAGTTGGTTCGCACTATACAGTATAGTCTCAATGGCGATAGTACAATAGTACGATCAAGAAATGTAAGTATAGTCTACACTTACATTCCTTGATCGTAGCCCGTAGCCAGGGTGGCCGTTCTTTCATTCTTTCCTTCAGAAAGAAAGGCTATCTTTCCTGTCAGGAAGTTCCTGAGAGAAAAAATGCATATTTTTCCCGGAAAAATAGGAAAAAAAGAACATTTTTGGAGGAAATTGGGGGAAAAATCGAGAAAAAGGCGAAAAATGAAGAGAGGGATGTGATTGATCACTAATCAATGATTAGAGGCATAGATATGTGCCGTAGTTCTGACAGAAATATAACTGAAACACTCGGGAAATTTAGGTCTGTAACGACGGAATCGACGGATCTCGTCCTTGGATCTTAGGCGCGCAGGAGTGTCCATCAAAAAATTCGCAAAGTCATGCTTTGAAGGAAATATATCTCATGATGAGATATATTGACTTCGATGTGCGTTGTTAATTAGAGCAATCACTCGACCAGAATTGAGTGAATTAGCGGATGAGCTACAGTCAGTAACGCGAGATTACTACTTACCAGTGTTGTGCAAACTAGTGGACATCCAGAGTCTCCATTTGTGACTCACCACTGTGAGAATACTGATCACCAGAATCGTGCAAATTAGCGGGTGAGCTAGGGTCACCAACGCGAGAATAGGTTCTCAAATTGAGAGTCTCAATACAGGAATCCTAAGCTCGTCTTTGCCCAAAATATTCCGAAGTGGATAAATCGTATAGTAGTCACTCTTAGTCTTCAGGTCATCATAAAGAAGCTCGTACGCTTTGCAGTTCTTCTTCCTCGGATAAGGTATGATCTTCCCCCATTATCACTCACCTTCGTACATATACATATTACTGCAGGTGAACCACGGTGCCCAGCGGAAGGAGGCCCATGTACTGTTGCCGTGGTCCTAATGGAACAAACGTCCAGAAATCACTCCGCGAGGGATTCCACCCACCCTCAAGTTGAGGGTGGCTCGGTGGATACATCGGACCGTCGCGAAAGCTTCCACTTGCCTATCACAGCTTCGAATGGGCACCCTCTTCATCACTGAGTAAAGCACCGGTTTCAGGAATTATGAGTCATAATAATAGAGCTAGCTGCCATAGCTAAGCGATCGAATCTATTATCAGAATTGAATTCTGCGGGAATCGGCCATTGCCAATAGCGCGATACCATGCTGTGAATATCACCCATCCCACACAATCATCAAGGTCCCATATGATAGAATCTGCTAGAGAGACACAACTGTGCGTCGCTGCTGGGAGATACAGCCTGTATCATACAGGTAACGTCCCGAACTATCTTCGTTAAAAGAACTCCCAAACTCTCGGCCGGCAGCGCCGCCGGAATCTTGGAATGCTCACCTGGCGAAAATAGATGCTGCTAGCTCAATGGAGCAGATCACTCACTTTCCTTCTGAAGAAGTCAATCACATGCTTGGCTACGTCATCAGCGCTTATATCAAAATTCATAATTTTTGAAGCCCTATGCCTCACGATTACTGCTGCAATGAAGAATCTCCATGTTGCGTTTCAGTGACTGCGGAGTCTAAGTGACCGCGGAGAGTGAAGGAACGCTTACAGTCTTGAGCAGAGCTCCTCAAGACCGGCATAACTTGCGTCCAATATGCCATGCTGTACTGCGAATCGCTCCTCAGCGAAAAATTTTCTATTTTGCCAAATTTGCCAATTTTGGCTATCTGCCTATTTTTCCCTATTTTCAGCAGGAAAAAAATAGGCCGAAGGAAAGAATACCTATTTTCCTCCCACCGGGCACCCTGCTTGGAAGGATACTCATCACCGAGAGTAACGACCTGAACCAATATCTGGTCTGATTCGGGGTGTGTTAGGCTATAATTACCAACTTGAATGCCCCGCGAGAATATGGGCTGTCACCTGGAAGTAACGGAGATGATGGCGCAGGTGTGAATAAATAGAGATTACGAGGTCCATGTAGCACTATAGAGTCTATAGTATAGACATAGTTCGTTCATTCTGTACGTCGGCCTCGTCAATCTCGCCTCTCTCGACCAGTAATTCGAGCTGTGCGAGTTCTTTTTCGATCCGGGATTGACTCCTCATTCGCGCGTGCGCAAAAACTTCGGCCAATTCAGGGGAGGTGATTAGCAGTGTTAATTTAACACATAGCGAAACAGCGGTTGGAGGGAGCAGTGGAGACGTCATGGACTATCATGATAGAGAATCTGGGGTTTGAGGCTCCACCGCGTCACCGTCTCGGGCTCTCGAGCGATCAACTGAGAACGAGAAACATTCATTTCCAGAAGTTACACTTCAGATGAGTGTCACACCAGTTCGATATTGCGAAACAAAATATTATCATTCTACACTGAGAGGCCAGAAGTGAACAGAACATCTCGTTTGCTGATGCAGTTGTCGACGCAGTGAGCGAGAAGAGCCGACGACCGCATAGTTATTAGCAAAGTCACGTGCCGGTGTCAACAGTCGCCTACCGACAAGGGTTCTCGGCTTGGTATCAGGAGCCGGAAGGACGATGCCCTGGCAAGATTGACAGTGGAGAGTGTAAGGAATAGTTTCGATTTTCCTACGACAGGGCTGGACGACAGTTTCCGCAGACTTTCTTTAAAGGCGCGTCGTTCTTCCGAGAGGGACCTGCTCATAGTTCGCCGCTCGACAGACCTGAGCGGCACCGAATTCCCAATAATCAAGTAGTGCTCTGCTACTTCTCTAATTGGTCCCTCGAAGAGCCGGGAACAGATTGGCTCTGGCCATTTGTCCAGGTCCATTTAGTAACCGGGCTTGGCGGCTGTGATTGAGCCTACCAACGCTCTCAACTCGCCGCGATGAAGAAATGAATCGGGGCGCACCACTGGTTGGCTCCCCACCGTCTGTGGTCGACCATCCGTCTTGGTCCAAGCATGCCCCTTACCGAGGGCCTCTGTCGTGAATGTATTTGTGGGTGGGTTTACCTCTTCCTGCCTCAGACGTGGAGGCTTACTTGTGTCTGAATGGATGACAACACATTCATTTTCCAGCTCTCGTAGTCTTCTCCCATGATAACCCAGGTCATTCTCAGCAGTAATTCTTCAGAATCTCACCCCCCCCCCATTGGGGTTCAATCAGCTGCTGGTATGTGATGAGGTCAACTGCATTCTGGAGAGCATTCATCCGTGTCCTATGCTCAGACAGAGCTCGGCGAGATAAACACCGCATATCTCGTCGTTCAATGCACAGGAATAGATCCAGGATGCCCACACGGTGATTCAGCAGCTTCACCAAGCACTCACTGATTGAAGCAGGTTCCTTTTCACCCAATGTCTCAAGTCTAGCAAGGGCCTTTTCTCGCAGGTCTACCTGATGACCCGTGAATCAGATCTGACGGATTCGACCGTATGCAACCCGTGAAAGACATGAGAAATGCTGATTAAACCCGGACTGACCTCGAGGTCCTTGAGAGTCCAGTCAAGCACTAGTCTGAGATATTCAGTGTTCTCCACAGAGTTCATCATCCTGCATCCAACAGACGTCACATTTTAGCGGAGACTGCACCCACATGGAATCAGTGCTTGCATGAACGATCGGCTTCTCTTTGAAATCTGAGTTATTATCTGTAGCGCATCTTTAGTCTTAAAGACCTCACGAGCTGATCGCGCTTCTGTGCGCCTCTTGAGCGTCTCCAGCTCGGTTACCAAGCCAATATATTGTCTCTGATGGGTATAGTGAATAGTTGAGTTATCGTAGAGACTCGCTCATATACTCAGTGTATATGTGGTGTATTACACCGTGAAGTACAAGAGATCGCACGCTGAGCACATCAGTAGACCCCGCACCTTGATTTTGGCAGTTTCGGCTTCTGCTACGATACGTCTAGCGCGTTCCTCTTCGCATTGTACACAACCACGCCGAGAAGTTGACATGGGTATTATTCGTTGCTGAGAATCGTCAACTGTAATGGCGGCCAAATAGATAATGACAGCAATCCCACAGTTGCCCTTGCGCATGGCAATGTTCTCGAGTCGAGAGTCAAGGACACGTCGAGAATCTCGACGTGTCCTTGTGCAACGTGGGCCACGTTACGTGGCGAACGGGAAGGCATAAGTTGGTTCAAGAACGCGGCGTTCTCGATTAAACTTACGCCTGGCCCTCATCTTCCGGGCATCAATCGGCGCCCCCTCGTATGATTCCGTGAAAATTTTGGTCCTAATTCAATAAGAGTATTTTTCGGCCTCCAAACCACGGACTTCGAATCGCTCATATTCCGATAGAGCTTGTGCACTAGCGTTGGTCGCGGCAACGTCATGAGGCGTGCAGAACCGATCGCTACGCAAGAGTACAATTCCGGATCGGTTGACTTGAGCTTCCGAGGCAAGCAAAATTCATATATCACACAGCACATGAAAATGCAGCACAGCCTCCAGCGGATTTCACAAACGCATTCTTAGCGCGACTCACAGCGCTTCTTTGTACAGTTCAGCTCCGCTGAGTTGTACAACTTACAATCACCATCAGAATTCGCGTCAGGTGACTCAGGCCGAACCCTGACCAGGGTTTCACGAACGTCGTTGATTCATCTCTCGACTCACCTGCAACGCCTGTGGCTTTGGCTCATGCCTCGATACCTTGTTCACTCTGGTGACGGACGCGGGACCTTTCGACACGTACTCCAGCTGAGCTGGGCCGTCTTGCTCGATTGGCTGAGAGACACTGGAGTTTCACCTGTTTTACGTGAAGTGGCGTAATTCTCTGAGAAAACCCCGATATTCGCGTCGCGAATATCTCGAACCTCGCGATACGCAGTAGTCGGGGAATATATTTTTCACTAGTGTTGTTCATATCACGGGTGGAACTCCACTGAACACGTGTCAGATCGTCGAGGTGATTCAGAAAGTACTTCAATCACGCCTATACGAGAAGGAAAGACATAGTCAGACTTCTAGCGAAACTTTTCTAATTTGTTCGCGTCACGTAAGAGATACTCTCACTCGGCAACACTATAGGCTCGGGTCACTCCTGTTTATACAACGCGAGAAGACCAGCCCCAGGTGTTCTGTCGTGAGATCAGAGGGGCGCCAAAAGCGCTCCCAATCATAGGAGCGCCATTGAAGCTCCTAGTGAGAGGTTTACTTTTTTGTGGGAACAGAATTATACATGTCTAACGTGGTAGATTATACGAGCCACAAATGGAACGTTCATTAACAGCCTTAACCAGCTAAGCAAGCGAACAAAACGCGCAGAAGAACGGGCCTGAGAGGTCTATCGAACAAACACGCCGAGACCTGTTGGGCTCCTACAACCGGGCCGGGAAGAAAAAAACAATTATCACAGAGCAACCCGAAACCCGAACTGTTATCCGAGGCTGAGCTCTTATTAACGGAATCTAAAAACCCGAACTGTTATACAAGGCTAGGCTGTTATGCAAGGCAAGGCTGATACGCAAGGCAAGCTGTTATGAAAGGCTGTGCGGGGCGAGCGCGAAACTTCTTTAGGAAAGAGACACTTTCTTTGGAAGTATGGAGTTTACCAAAATATTATACCCTATGGTGATCCAGACATCTTGGCTACACTTATTGGTATGCTAGACCTGCCTACATCTAAGCTGATGCACTCGTGGACTTGTGATATGTATATAGGCGTGTCGATGTTTCACGAAGGCAGTCACCACGCTACCACTTCAGAAGCCCAGAGCATTGCAGAAAGGTATAATTTTCAAGAATCTATTCCGCCACCAGTAGAATCAATACCGTTGGTATGTCTTGTTACGATCGATTTCGCGGAAGCACCGGATAGGAAGATCAATTTCGTCTGCACGTCAACGTAACCTTAATTGTGGTAAGCAATTCCGCGGTTAATCAGTGAGGCCTCAATTCGAGAGTTTGTTGGGTTGACCAACTGCGTGGGCACTGGCGAGCAACGTGGGAAAATATGCATATGCTCAACTGCATGTGTTGATGGTAATATGAAAATTCTGAGGAAATTTCGGGAAATTCTCATTGATTCCTGTACATTTCCAACCCAATTCGTATATAAACTCCTATAATCACTGAGCTGAACGCATATTCTTACACACCTAGCGGGCTTCATATCAAGAAGTGTATCGGACCGGCGCAAATCTACTCTGCTGTTCTCGTTAGGGCCGCCTTTGTTTAGCCTCCGGATTCTGAAAGATGTTTGAACGCTACCGTGCAGCCAGACGGCGCAGTGGTTCTGATATCCAATCAATATTCCGTAACGAAGTGGAGATAGCCCGAAGGTCGACACTAGATTCGTTCGAGATAAATGATGATGATGATGATGACTGCAGAGGAGATGGAGATTCACATGCCACGCCAAGGACTCGGAGTGGCACCTTGTCAAGTGATGTTGTCCCTGCTACGGAGTCGCCTGAAAAATGGGCAACTCCGACGTCGCCGACCATGCTGAATGTAAAAGGCTGGAGATCCTCGGGCGCTCAGGTAGAGTCTCGTTTCACGAAGAACGCGGGGACGGTTGTAAGGCATTCGCCCGACAGCTTTACTTGGACAATCCCTCGACTGCACCTTAGTGAGAAGATAGGCACTACTAGATTCAGAGTTTGCTCTGATGCTGATGGATGCAAAGAGGGCAGAAAGGGAGCTGAAGTGGCGATAGAATATGCAAAGAATGATAAAAACGAGACTATACTCAAGTTGTACTCGATGAGAGACCGATTGGGATTTAAAATGATGATCGATGATAAGGAGATTATTGTTAACGAGGATGCGGCCAAGGTAGTATGATGTTGCCAGTACACATTCCTTCACGGTTGTAGCCAGGAGGAAGGGTGTGTGGATTGATAAAAAGCCGTAAAACGTATATAGTGGCAAACACCATGTAAAACTTAGTAGTACTATAGAAGTAGCAGAATTGCAAGGTCGACTACCTAGTGAAAGCTATGAACATGAGCTCGTTTTCTCTTTCTTTGGTATAGTCTTATTGTATAAGAGCTCTTTCCTAACTTTTAGTAGCGTCAAAATGACAATGACGTTTCACCCTAGTGATATGAAAAACACTTATGAAAAACGCACTTCACGACTACTGCATATCACCGCGAATATCGCGTTTTTCACCGAGTTTTACGCCACTTCGCATAAAACTGGTGAAACTCCATTGAATGCTGTTCTAATGCTTCAGACGGATCGCTTCCAATTCGCATATGAAGTTAGAGCGCCCCAACTAGCTGAGATGTCGTCGTCTTCAAAGGAGTCGCCTCTGAACATCAAATGTGATATTTTCTCTGTCAACGGCCAGGCTGTGAATGACGATTCTGCACTCTAGCTGAATTTTCCCGTATTTTTAGCATGGGTATTTCTTGCCTGTAGAGCGATGTGAACTTTGGACTTGTCGAAGAGTAGCCCCGGTTCGAAAGACATCATCGTCTTGCTCATACGTCTGAAACATTTTCCAGTCTAGTGATTTTTTATCTCAATTTTTCCTAATATAAGTGGTCGGTCGTAGCCTCTGTCTCAGCTGAGCTGTCACCACGACCTCAGAGATTCGCGTTGGTAGTGTATAACGGGATTGGAATATATGTCCGCTTTCCTCAGCTGAGGTCAGGGGTTTCGGTACGAATTCGGGTAGAAACGTACCGAAACTAACGAGAATTTTCCAAAATTTCCGCAAAGTTCATGTGCATGTATAAAGTTGACTTGCAGTATTTCATGTTGATTCAAGGCTATGGAGTGTCCGAGGTGGCTTGTCGCTGGCGGGGGAATGCCTTCCGTCGAGAAGCAGTGAGATTTGTGCTACAGTCTAAATTTAAACAGCTGCGAGATAAGGACACTACCAGAGTGCCCTACTATCTCAAGAGGACCAATAGCGGCAATTTACCTGTCTACACCGACTTTCGAGGGGGCAAGCCTTACACTGTAGTGACGCATATACGTGGCAGCATGGAAGTAATCATGGGAAGGAAATCTCTTATAGAACGCGTGCGTTGAATACATGAAGTCTGTGTGATAGTCGGGATCCGTGGTCTCTGTACGGCAATTGTATTTTTCATTTAGTCCTTCGTGACGGACCTGCGTAGTGTACTGTTTGGTGAGCGAGAGGACCCTTCCCTGAAGAACTCCCATACAGAGCGACGCGTCTATTCAGCAGCTGATGGGCGACCGTCAAAGCTCAAGAAGGAGCCTAAAGATCCGAACAAGGAAGTGATAGTATTCGGGAACAAGATACGGGTATTGGGACTGAGGGAAAAGTCAATTAAACAATGGTTGATGGAACTTGGTTTCTGACATTCGTCGGGTCTGCTGCGTTAGTGAATACGATGGAAACAGACGTGAACGAGGTTCCTCTTGGAAATGAGTTGGACATCGCCAGCAAGGCATCAAGGATAAAAGCATAGAGGAGTCGAGTTCGAGGAACTGAGTCGAGTCAACATGCCAATTGAACATCTCTCGCGAACTCATCGCGTTCTTCTGAGTATTCGCCAAGGATACTGAGTTGGTCGAATTAAAACTTTCTGGCAACTGTTTGAGGAGTCTTTATGGGCTACAACCGTCTCATGCTGTTTCAAGCCTAGACAACCTCATTGAGGCAGAATCACGGGGGAGTAGTATAAGCGAGTTGTCGATCGATCAAACCGATGTTCTAATGCTCTTTGGTAGCGTATTTCTGGCGCCCAGGAATATTCTTAGCGCTAGAGGATTAAGCAAGAATGCTCCCTTACCCTACAATGCATTGGGGGACAAAAAGCGACACCTGGAAGATTCGAACTCCCGCGCACATAGACCAACGGCTTAGCTAGCCGCCGTCTTAACCACTTGGCCGAAGTATTTAATTTCTCATCGCTCAGCGATGAGTCTTCCATCCCTTTGTTCAGTGGGAAGAAATGTTCCACACCAACTACAGAATTCATTAGGGGACAAGTGACGACACCTGGGAGATTCGATCAGGAATATCTCGAGTCAGAGTAGTGTTTTCAGTAGAGGCATTTGGTCTGTCGGGTTTGAGGGAACATAAGGTCTCATTATGATCAGTGCGTAGACCAACTTAAGGAGAGTAGTGCTCTTCAGCGTGAGCGAGTTGAAGGCTAAAATTCTGAGGCTTCATTTTGAATCACTCGGCGAGCTGTTTGCAATACTAGTCGAGTCACTTCCAGGCGCTCATACTTGCTGAGTTATAACGACACGAAAAAACCGTATCTAGTGAAAAGTGCAGGTCGATCAAAAGCAGCCAAATGTGGAGCTCATCGAGATCAAAAACCTTATGTGCCACTGCGTAGGACATTGTTGCAGTGATAGAACGTTGACGAGGAAGTTGCAGACAGTTTAACCCAAGCCGCATTTACAACGCCAAGCACCAAAGAGAGGGAAACAATACTAATTAACATGAGCGAGAATGTGTCGACGATAGCGGTGATAGATGAGCTAAGGGATATGATAATCGTCCAAGCTCTCCATCGCCCTCCTCGTGAATGACGGCCGTCTCGGCCTAGCAGTGGCGGGAGCTGATGAGCAGCTCAAGACACTTGCTGATTCCAAGAGCGACGCTGATGATCTGGACAGTCGTGAATGCTGAAGAAAGCGGTACGTTATAGTTCGAAGAAGAAACTCAGCCAACGTGACGTGGAACACCTACCCGTTCTGATAGATTCTTATGGGACCGCGCAGTGTTGAACATAGGGAGAATACTGCTACCGAACAACGCCGCGCCTTCCCTTGAAATAGCGGCCTGGCGAACGTTGTCCTGTATGCGTTTCACGAGATCTACACTCTCGGAGGGTTCTTGACAAGAGCCAAAATTTGTGTCTATTGACAAGGCGTAGGTGTCATCAGGTACTCCACGCACGACCGGTTCTGGTGATTTCGGAGCCACTATGGCGGAATCTGGCAAACACCCGAGAGATCTGTATTTGACGATCTAAAAGTCCAGACGATAACCGCTAGCGGGATGTGATACTGTTCTGATTTGCACGTTTACCATCAATCTTGATAAGAGTTGACTCATCGTCGTCATCATCATCAACAGATCCCTGGACTTGCAGCGCTGCAGGTAAAGGAGGTCCTTCTCTGCTCGCCAGGGTGATATCCGGTGGTGGAATCCTCGGTCGTTTGCAGGGTAGCGGCTGAAGTCAGGCAACAACAAGAGTAGCGTTGCCAGGCGCTGTAGTTCTCACAGATGGGGATCCCTGCAGCGTCCGATCGAAGTTGTCCAAAATAACGCGAGGAAGTCTGAAGCGATGATATTGATGTTTTCACTCAAAACATGAAAGAATTACTTCATGGATTCTAATGACTCGCTTACAACAGCCTTGGGTCGGGGCTCAGCCGTGCCGTTGCCCAAGTCGAAGAGACCGACCGACGGGTTCCTAAAAACAAGAATTTCCTCTGTCTTACCGACTTAGCCACCCGTCCTTATTTTCGTCCGAATAGGTTGCTCTTGGAAAGTCATCGAATGGGCTGAGTGCCTCTGGAGCGAGGAGTTCTCCCATACTATACTGTGGTTGAATCGGCGGTGGCGCCGAAGGGTCGTCCTGCGATGCACAGTTGACCACAGAGTCAACGTCGGCCAAAGCGTCCACAGCCTCGTCAACGTATATCGCGCCTTCATCAGGCACTAGCTCTGCCGCCTCCACCGCGTGAACAGTGTACCATTGGCCGTTGACCAGTACAGGGGCCGAAACCGTATCAACAGGATTACGATTATGCATCTGGACCGCTCGGAGACCAGCCTCGAGAGTATCGAGTCGCTGGGCCACAGTGGAGGTGATGACATCAGATTTGCCGAGGGCACTCTGGCGTTCTTCTGCCAGCTGCTGTTCTAGTATGCGGTTTCTCCACATTAGCAGGGCCTAAGCGTCATTAGCAAGAATGTTGTAGCGATCGTGAAGTGGGGGATGACCGGCGGATCACTCACCACGAAAGCCGTGAGTTTTCGACTATCTCGTGTTATCTCTTCACTTGATCCGCAAGCTGCATCAGCATACTTCGCCGAACACTGGGTCGAAGATGAGTGCACATGCAGAGGGCTCGTCGAACAGCCGGTCTGAGGCAAGAGCTCTCCGGAAATCGACCTTCATATGCACACACGATCACGATCCAGGAGACCATATGGATTCTGTCATGACTTACTGTATGCTGCCTTGGTGGTGTCATGGTTTGACTACTACGTGTTCTTCCAGAAGGCCTGGACAATCGGGCGGATAACACTCTCCACGACCACAACACAGCCTGAACTGATTCCATTCGAGTGCTACTATCATTAGATCTAGGAATTTCAATG